CCGCGCGGCTCTAAAATTCGAGCTAATTCCCAACAAACATTAAAACAAAACAAATGAGCGAATAGAGCAGAAGAAGTGCTCACAAAAGATACACCAGTTGATATAAAACAATAGCGTTTCAGAGGAAGAATTTCAATTTGAAAATTGCCATGGCTTATCGGTCAGGCCAATTCGAAAAGAAACAGGCAAACCTTTTTCGGCAACCTAAGGGTGGAATGTTCAGAAGAGGTCATGAGTAAGTAGAGGGTACATCATTGATTGATTTCTCCCAGGGAAAATAAAGTTAGAGCTAGTTGTCGGTTTGGTCAATTTTTGTCGGCGGGACCTCCCATTTCGCAGGCCTAAAATTTGAAAACCATGGAACATAGATGGAAGAAGAACACGACTTGTAGAGCAGACAATTCTCTTTCGAATGGTATATGACTCGATGTAAAAGCATGGGATTTAGATGAAAATTTTTTGGTTGAAAAAAAGCGACACTATTTATGAGACAACCTAATAACATGGTGGGTCAGAGGTGTAGCCTTACGGGAGCCGCTGCGATGGTGGATGCTCGATTTCGGAAAAAGTCCGGACATGAGCATGTTTGTCGTTGGATCCAACCAGTTCTCTTCGCAACGATGAGAGACAGTGCTAATGGTTTCATCTCCGTTTGCACGACCAATTAGGAGAACAACAGTCGTTCCTTTTCGTTGGCAAACGGTATTGACGAAGCTCAGGCGTTAGTATTCAGCAACTTTACCTTTTTCTTTTTTGCTGGATGTCATAAAAAGTATGCCAAGAGTGACGTAGTAGAAATGGTTAATTCAGGAAATACGTGAGAGGTACCAGGTTCGAAGAAAGCGTTCGAGCTGATGGTAAGATAGTCGCCGTGACAGGAGCAAACTCCGGTATCGGTGAGTTTCTCAAGCCATTGCAGAGCTGTTCTCACTGTTGTTCAAATGCAAGTGAAGAGGAAGGGTGGCTGTTGAGACCATAAAAATCAAGACTTTCAAGACACAGTTCAAGGTCATAAATGTTGTTTTTTCACTTGAACCCTACAGGCCTGCAGAAACCAGCGAACACAAATAGTATGTTCATTCGCTAATACCAAAAATGATGCATGAATGAAACGCTAGTTCTTATCCAAGCTAATTTTTGCATATATCCGAATAGCCCACTTACCACTCGCACGCAGCGGTGATCACACCCCCAGGAGCTCGATCCCTTCCTACGAAGCAACTTCCCGAAAAATTGGAGAAGCGGCTCCACCATCATACCCAGTTTGACAGAATGACTGATTTGGCTCAGACAGTCGTGGCTGCATGGTCATGAAGAGAATTATTAAGATGGTGTCACAATAAAAGCGAGTTGCGTTGGCTCGATGACCCCATACGGTCAATTCCCAGTTGAGACTCTCTCGTCAAAGCGGGTGATCTATGGGTGACCACATCGGCGGCGACCTAAAAATGCGTGAAGAGAAAGCAAGAAAAAAATTGTTCGGCTAAAAGAAGGAGCCACAAATAAGCAGTAAGTCGTATAAGGTGTGCTTCCGAAAGTCATTAAGCAATATTCAAGTACGGTACTGAGAGTAAAGTATTTTACAGGAGGATTCCATGATAGGGTCTAAGATTAAAGAAGGCGACAATGGCCTTAGGATGATGGGCATACCCCCTTAACGTGCAGACGGACATGCAATTTGCAGCGAAAGATGTGCCCCAACGATCTAGCACGGCCCTCCCCGCAGCGCTATCGGCGCGGCACGCCTTCCTCTCGCTGTCTGACCATATGGCCGTTAGACGTTAGCGTTGAAGAGGGCAGCACTGATGACAGTCGCATCAATGCAGAAATCAACGAACAACGAAGAGGTTCCATTTCTCGGGCTCTGGTCGTCTCTCATGGTCTTTTCTTCATCCCTGCACCACAGATCGCCTTTTTAATGAGTTTCCCTTTCGTCATGAAACTCGCCTTTAACCCGCTTCCTTTGTTGTTTCTTACCCATTCATATGATAAACCTGCCAAACACACTGAGATGTCATCATGTTAGCTGACCTTCGACCCACTGGATCTGCTCATTTTTTTGACTGGTGATTTCTGTTTTAGGTCAAGCCATCACGGCTGAGCTTAATCGACGAGGTGCGACCGTTTATATGCTAATCCGTGACAAACAGCGGGGGATGGAATCCATAAACAGGCTTGAGAAGGTTCCTTAAAATCCTTTTCCTTGTAACTAGGTATAGGTTCGCCATACGTTTGTTAAAATCTTTGTATCGATAGGAAGGATGCGACCCGAAGAGGCTAATTCTTCGGCATATGGATTTGGCTCTTCTCAGCTCAGTGAGGAGTTTTGCAGAAGAGTTCAGCAAAGGTTGTTCCCTGTTTGAAGTACCAGAAGTGTTATGAGGATCAATCTATTTTTAGAGGTTCCTCATCTCGACATCCTCATTTGTAACGCTGGAGTTCTGCGGCTCCCTAAGTTCGCAAAAACCGTTGATGGATTCGAGAAAACATGGCAGTGCAATTACTTAGGTGCGCAAAATTATCCTAATTCAAGTTTCAAATAGCAAAATTAATCAACGAATATAAAGCTATACGAAAATATCTAATCTATTTGTTTCTCTAGGTAAGAAACCAAAAAGATATTGCCGTATCGGTGCGCAGATTATTCAGAGTAACGCATGCCCGGTTTTGCACGCCGATCCCAAAAATCTAAAATTCTTCTAAAGTATCGAGCCTCGTAGAGCCAGCGCCGCCTCCTAACTCTTGACCCGCACTCCGCTGGGTTTTGGAGAAGGAGCAAGAAATTTTCTGAGCGTTGAAGACAAGTGGTGGACACTCATGGTAGATATAAGACCGGTCAGGAGTTGTAAACAAAAAAGATAAAATTAAAATCAAAAATTTGAAAAAGTGTTGCAGGACTTTCTTTCCAACCTAATATAACACATACCCCACGCTACGAAGTCCGCATCTGATTAAAAGGCTACTTTATGCCGCATATCAGAAAAATAGCAGTCGGCTACCAGTGCTGAGCCGAGCTATGTACAGACAAGACATTGAGATACGAAATGATTCGACACTTGCCTAAACTTCGGTTCCACCTTGTGATTCTTCAATTTGCTAGTTTTCGAGATGTTTCGGCGTTCTTCAGAAAAAAAAGAGTTACCTTGGGCCGAATTAGACTATCGATTCTCGAGAGCAATTCCAAAGACTATATGAACACTGGTATCTGGTAAACACCTTTGTTTGACGGCATCCTGATGAACGTTTTCTAAACCAGTGACCTTAAGGCTTTTTGAAAGCTTCGATACCGTCTATCATCACTATCTAGATGAAATTTTCCGAGAATTTAGATCTCTAAAGCGAGGTTTTACGAAAAAGTGTGTGTGCAGCGTGGAATCATGCACTGACACAAGTAATAGTCGGGGTCGGAAGGAAACGAGATGTGGTATTCCTACGGCTGAAGGCACACTAGTTGCAGCGCACTGGGCTTCCGAACCGCTCCTGTGGTCCACCCACCACTGCGCTGTCCTTCGTTTTCCATTTTGGAAGAGAGTAACACCCCGAACGGCCGTATCTTCTAACTTTTCTGTGCAATGCACTATCAGTCGAAGCATGTTGTTGGTTGGCATGATGGAGGTCATCGTCAGTTTTCAATAAATGAAATGATTGCTGCTCGTCAATTGCCGGAGGCCAACCGGATGAAAAAAAAATTATTTTGCAAGTTCTAGACGGATTTCTTTGCTTTTATCGCCACTGGCGCATCATTTCCCACCCCCACTTCAGTAAATTCGATCCAGTCTTATTATTTTCCCTCGCTGTGACATGTGTTTACGAGATTGCTTTCAAAAACATTCATATCATCATTGAAGAAGGAAAAGGCAATAAGTTATTAGGCCATAAGTTTTTTCTAAAACTTCCAACTTCTTCGTTCCAAAACTTTGACAATTTCTCACCTAAAGGCATGAGTCGGGATTGAATTGATGCGTTATTTTGTTCGAAAATTAGGCAAGGGGTGCAATGAGGAACATTAGTGAGGAGAAAAAGCAAAAAGCACCATAGAAAACACTAAATTTCCCTTAGGCCGGCCGTAGTACGACGGAGAGACACAGCGCTGCGAGGAGAGGGAAACGCGAGATAGTACGTCGTACGCGAGAGGACGCAGAGACCACGTATGCCGCGAC